TTTCACGCGGTAAGTTTCGTTTCCCTATTCTTGAACACGTGTCTTTGCAGCAGGTTTGATATTTTGACTGAGAAGCTACGTGTTTCCTCTTGTCATGCTGGAATGGCTGCAGCAAGTCTATGCATATGGCAATTCTGCTACAACCATATTTCCTTCGTCTATTATTATATTCACTTGCATATGCATGAGCCTCAACAAAGCTTGGACACCTCCGTTTCTACAGCGTCTCTTGTTTCAACCATTGCAAGATTTGGGAATTTTGCTCTCGCCCTGTACAGATCTACGGCCATTGAGATGGGTACGTGGCTGCCTTCCTTACGTAGATTCATCAATAATTATGAACTCTGGATGTTGGCGCCAGACTAGTGTTTTCGTCCTCGTCCCTACATTAATCCGTTGCATATTTGTCACTTACCGAATATGCCCCAGGCAGTGGACCTTTTGGAAATTGGAACTGCCCTGCATAAGTCCTTACCCACCCCCTATATGATGGCCCTCGCAGCACCATGCATGTAGATCGCTCCCTCGGGCATGGCGGTCCTTGGAGTAGCAGGAGCCATCGCCTTTTTGTTCCATCTAGGTCAACTCCGCATAATGCTTCACGCACAATCTCTTAGCTTGCCCCTTGTCGGCATGCTCCAATCTGAATCAATCTTTGCCCATTACTTGCTCCATGCTGAGCAATCAGTTACATCACGTCATTTCTCCCTCGAGAGACTACGCGTTCCTCTTCGGAATCGCTTTGGCCAACACCTTAGCATTCACGCGCTTTGTGTTGTGACCCCTGACAGACCCAATCGATGATTGCAGTTATCGACCTCCTTTGCCGCTTCGCATTGTATCCTACATTTACCTTGTCTCCGTTCGGCCATTTTCTATCACTCTCATCATGTCTGACCTTCAGTCCTTCTATTCCATCATGGCTGACAACGGGGGAAAGGGGGGGGGGGGGGAAGAGGGGTAAGGGGGGGGTTGGGGGGGATGTGGGGGGGATCTCCTCCGGGAGTGTCCTCTTTCTTGATGAGGGTCCACTGCCGCCTTAGGCCAAGCAAGTTTGTACTGACGAGGCCTCATCTTCGGCTCTAGCTAAAACCGAGCCACATTTGGTTCCCGATAGCTGAGCCTGAAGCAGAACCAAAGATCACATTGAACGATTTGGAGACCAATACGACGCCAAAACCCATGCTGGCAGGACAGATCCAACGTTTGCACTGCAATCGAAGTTAGTATGGTGATCATTTCTCTGGTTCATAATGTGTACGGGCTCATCACAATCATTTCTTCCAATAACATTGCAAAAGAGCATATGAGAATGAACACTCTCTTGTAGTGTGAGGAGCTTACCTTGTTTCTTGTACCTGAGAAGTAAGTAGCTTCATGCTTCAGCGCTGTCTGACACTCTGTGTAAGGATGTCTGCTCGATGTCATTCGAGCATGGGGCTAGCCTTGTTAGGATGTTTTTGATATGTTGTACACTAAGTTCAATATTACGGGTGCGTTTACGTACGTTTTACGTTTACGTTTACGCACGTTTTACGTTACGTTCCACCGTCAGTGTTGAGATTACGTTTTCAGGTATAATTGTTTTCCTGGCTGCCCGGATTTTTTTTAGGGGGATCCAAATGTGGTAATTAAGTTATATATAATTTGCAGTACAACATTAAGCACATTTAACTAAACATTATCCTTCGGCTCCTCGTAACAGCAATCCTCGAGTTCGTCGTAATCGAGGGGCTCGTATGTATCGTCCTTCTCATCCTCCACATGTCCAGCTGTTGCTCCCGCAACCATACGATTTTTTGCTTTTTCCGCATGCAACTTGCATACAGTGTTGTAGTTGTGAGTGACGTACACAAGATCCGCCAACCGCTTGGGACCAAGACAGTTACGGCGAACAGTGTGGACAGATTCCCACACCGACCAGTTGGTATCGCAGGTTGATGCAGAGACACAGTGTTTCAGCACCCTGCCAACAAGCTTCGAGAGATTGGGACAAACACACCCGTTGAATTTCCACCAATGGACAAGATCGAGCTTACCCTTTTATTATGAGCTCGTGATCCTCACGTGCCTTCTTATCACCAATTTTCCCATCGCCTGGAATGTAGATTGTTGGAATAACTGAAAGGTTATTATAACATTCTCGAAGGTTCTCTTGTAGCGCACCACTTCAAAACGAAGCAGCGCTACTGTGCCAGTACCGCAATAGCTCATATAGAGCACGCGGCAGCTCGAGAGTCATTCGAAGGTCAACAGTCACAGTTAGTCAACGGTTGTGACTGTTGACCGTCCAGTAACCGTACTCGGAGGTTACACGCTGCAACATGGTAACTGTCGAGTAGAGCAATAGTCGCGGTTACTGTAGCAATGTAATACAATTAATATGGCCCCTCACAGTGCATGGCTAGCTAGATTGCTATTTATATCATTGTACTGCTTTCTTAAAATCATCTTGTTCTCTTTTAATTATCATTAAGGTCACTTCAAGACTTCATTCTCTGCATTACAACTTAGCAATTCTTATCCTATCCACTACGATTCCCGGTTATATCAACATGGTATGAGAGCCAGAGTGGATTATAAGATCTGCCAAGTTCTTTTTCTTCCTAGAACAAGAACTCCTTAAAAACCTATTCATTAAAGTACCTGTTACAAGTCTACATCACTATGGCTCCTGAAGGGAAAGCTACTGCAGACTCTCCGGGCCCACCATCACTAGCAACGACTACTGCGCCATCGGCGGTGACTTCCGTCAGCGCCGCCCTCGTTGAGCAGCTTCTCTCGCATCAATAACCTTGAGAGCCATCAAGACATGAGCATTGACGGGTTAAGTTACGCAAGAGGAGCTGATGGACTGCCTCTCCTGGGAGAAGACCGCCGCGTCAACTCCGAGAGATCTTTTACCTTTGACAACCGTCAAGCTTCAGCTCCTGCGCACGACAGTCAACAACGCGCACAAACAGCGGCATTCGCAACCATGGAAACAACGGCGCAGATCTGGATGTATTACGACGGGAGCTTACCTTTTCCGTCGGAAGGAACCATCCAGGAGAAGAATCAGTAATACCAGGAGACCCTTCTCGCGTACACTGCTCCTCTCCGAAATATTTCCCCCCTCGAGCAGCTTGGCATCCGCTCTTACAAATCGGAGTTGGCACCCGCGCAAGTGTCTTGGGAGCACCTGCGCAATTCATACATGGCAACAGATCCGGTTTCCATGAGTCGCCTGCTCAATCAACTGACATCAGTCAAAATGCACCAAGGGGAGAAAGCGGGACCGTATATCAATCGGTGACGCAATCTGCGCGACCACATCAAGAAGTGCGGCGGAACCGTCCATGATGACATGTTCGACTCGATGGTCCTCTCTGGACTAGGACCCGATTGGCGTCAGTGCCAGTCGTTGCTCCGTGCGCGAGCAACCATCTCCGAGTCCGCTCTTTGCGCCACACTCCTCTCCGAGCAGAAGGAGATCGACCTGTACAATGAGAAGAACAGCAAGTGGGAGAAATTGGTGTTCTTCGCTGGAGCAACTGAAGGGGAGTCACAAGAGAAGAAAGGGTTTATGCAAATACTGTCAGAAGTATGTCAAAAATCTTTCGGACCGTAAGTCTCATGCTCGTTTTATTTGGTCATTCCTGTATTATTGCTGTTGTCTTTCGTATCAAACTGTGTTGTTGGATGCTTTTCATATACTTGTTACTCACACACTCTCATGAATTCCCTTGCCCGTGTTACCCCCCCCCACACAGAGTGTGAGAAGCAGGTGCTCAGCTTCTGGAAATTCGTGCGTCATTCTCAACCGGCTTACGGCATTGAGGCGAAGTGGATCATCAGCGCCGATCAAACCCCCCTGTTCCTCGAAATGCTGGCAGGCCACACCATCGATGAAGGCACCCATTTTGTCCCCATTCGAACCACAAGCTACCAAAAGGAGCGTGTTACCGTGATGCTTGCTTGCACCGCAGCAAGAGAGAAGCTGAAGCTCTGGGTATTTCTCAAACGCGCCAGGGTTCTGAAGGGGGATTTTCCCAATTGTGAGTTTCTCGCTGTAGGCCTCTTGTGTTTCTCTCAACCATGGATTCACCTGACCTGCTTGTGTATGAATGGCTTGCAAATGTGGTGGTGGTGGCTCAACCCAATGGTTGGATGGATGCCATTGGAGTCATCAGGTGGCTGGATGAAGTGGTGAAACTCTTCATCCAGCCACGCTTCAGACCCCGTGCGTGCTCGGCTCTTCTTATCCTCGATTAATATCGAGGACATCACACCCCGGAGGTCAAAGAGAAGTACGTGGCTTTGGGTATGGTGCCATGCGTGATCCCGGCCGGCTGGACGTTGGAGGTGCAGCCGCTTGACGTCACCGTGAACGAGTCGTTCGAAGAAGCTATGCGACATCAATACTAGGACTGGTTTGAGCAGGAGGGCATAAACAAATTCACAGCAAAGGGCGAGAAACTAAATCCTCCGTTGCTTTCGCCGTGAAGCTTCCCTCTTTTCTGTTAACTGACTGCTCCTCGTTTCAGTATATTTCAAGTGACAGGAAGGCGGTGCCGGCATCTCTGATCAAGAAGGCATACTACATACGGCACTAGCAATGCCGGCTCTGAAGATGACATGTGCCTTCAGCACAAGCACAACGGTGTGACAGCGTCTGTCGACGTGACGGACGACGTGGCTGCAGACGGATACTTCAGCAAAAATGTGACCGAACGCGAGTCTGACGGAGAGGAAGAGGCCATCCTCTGCGCCAATCTGAATTTGATTTTCATCCTGTGGCAATCTATTTTTATTATTGAATTATCTTTGCAACTCTCAAGTCTAGAATCTCATTCCCAAGGAAAAAAAACTACATTACAAACAGTTGATTCTCCCATTCCCAATTCTTTATACCCCGTCCCTGTTTACCTTTTGCAGTCCGTAGTTCCCTCCCCCCTCACCCCTTTGACGGTGCATTACAAGCAATACACGCATCAGAATGAGCAGCTGACTAGTTGCTATTACAAACTATAGTAAAGCTTCTCACTCTGCCCATTCACTATTAGACTGAAGGTTGAGGCCAGATAATTGCCCTCCATGGTAGCTCCCACCAACGCAGCCATAAACTTATGCAGTCCCAGGACCTTGGGCTTGGTAGCAGTTTCCACGGGGATATTTATGTCGTTAACTTTAGAGCAGGTGAACACGCCCGGAATCAGCAGAGAGAGCGGGTCCATCAGTTTCGTTGTGAGGGGGCATGCGAGTGGGAGCGGGTCTGACGTGTCGGCACCGACCTGGCCCACCAGGGAGACGCCTGTGCTGGTGGTAACGCCCTTGATGAAGACCAGGTGGACTTCCAGGGTGATCTTGGTGTCGCTGCATGCCGGGGGAACAGAGAGGTGGGGGAGCAGAGAAGGAGGTAGCAGAGAACGCACAAGGCAGAGCAAAGGAGGGGAAGAGCACACAAGCTGTGTTGAGTGTGACGCCCTCTGGTGAAGGACCAGGTGGGCCTCTAGGTTTGACCTTGCTGTAATGTGTGAGGTGTGACATGTGTCGAGGGAAGGGATGAAGGTTTGCTACAACGGCTACCTTCTTGGGTGGCTTCAGCTTTCCCTCTGACCTGGCCCACGTGCCTTATCGAGCGCTCAGCTGAACCGAAAAAAGGTTGCGCCCCCTCTCCCTCCGCCCCCCCTCTTCCCCCCCCCCTCCCTTCCCCCATCCTCCCTCCTTCCCCCTCCCCCCCTCTCCCTCCCTCCTTGGCCCCCTCCCTCCCTCCCTTTCCCCCTCTCCCCCCCTCCCCCTCTCCCTCCCTCCTTTCCCATCCTCCCCCCCCCCCCCCCCCCCCTTCCTTTTGCAAACTCGAACTCGCGGGCTGTGTTCCGGCTGGTACCACTCTTATCACATTCTGATCGACGCGATTCTGAAATGATGGACTCACTTGCTCGTGGTGACCCGGATTTTTGCTCCCCCTGCCACGGCGCCGACGAACATGGCTTGGAACCGGCCGCCTGCCATGGTTGGCAGCAGTGCTTGGTCCGACACTGGCAGGGGTGCTTGGGAAGGGATGCATTGGGGTGACTAATCATTGGACGAGACGCAATGAGGGGATGGACTCAGTGAGAAGCAGTGAGGGGGAGGGGCGCAATAGGGGGGTGGAATTGTAGGAGAATGGTATACGTGCAAAGCAATTACACACCAAAGCGTGCAGACAGTGTTCGTAAAGAGCTGCTCTGGGCGCTCTGCGTCCGCTACAGTGCGCAAGGACCCATGCAGGCAACGCCTCATTCAACACGGCATGTGGCAACGCAACGCCTCAGTGCAGCGCACGTCCGAGGACGCACTGGTCCGCTGCAGCAAAGAGCAAATCTGCATTCTTAGATTCATATAGCAAGCAGCAAGCGTCCGTACCAGTATCAGTAGCACCACTCTCCGACCAGACATCCAGCAGTCCAGACGCGTCCAGCTTCCCGCCGTTCACCCCGGCGTGCGTCACCTTGACCGTTTTCGTTGCAGGGCCAGGCCGGGCGGCCGAGGGAAACTTGGCAGGCCAGAAGCAAGACAGTGTCAAGTCCCACACCCCCGGTGCCACCATCTTCCACTGATTCCCGGCGTCCATCGCCAGAGGCACGCCGTCCCACGACGCGACCTGCGTTGGAGGGTCAACGCTTCCCGCTATAATCACCCGGAAAACAGTGGGGAGCTCAGGGCTGCGGTTGGGGGACCGAGAAGGTGGGAAAGGAGAAACACGGAGAGTAAATCAGCTTTTGATCAGCCGCCAGATGGAATGGGGAATAAAAAGGCTTTGTACAGCGAGAATGATTGGTCAGTAATTGCCTACTAGAGCGATGCGACATGGAAGGGAGGTCTTACGTTCTCACTGATATTTGCATGAGCATGACCCCCTGCGATTGGCTCGACGTCAGCTGAGCCATTGCGGTAACTGCAAGGGTGGAGGAGAGTGGGGGGGGGGGGGGAGGAATGTGAAGGTAGAAGTCTGCGAGGGATCGAAAGGGGAGTGAAGGAGTGCCACCATGGATGTTGTGGTGGAGGCGGTTACTTGCGAAGGAACAATAGGATCACACGGAATCAAATTTCAAGCTTTCTACATGGGCTTCTGCGGCTACTATTTCTGGAACACAAGTTGAGGAAACCGAGGTAGAGCCCCGACAATGATCGCGATCAAATCTCAACGATCGTACACTATCGTGTTCTTACAATGGTAATGACGGTCTTACACGAGGCCTGGGGAATCTTGACAATGCGCTTGGTGTCGGTACATTCCCGAACTCGGTAGAAAGCAATTCGGTGGGAACCGAAAAGGCTTGAGTTCGGTACACGTAACCTGGTTCGGTGCTATAACTATAATAACATATAGGAATGCACCTAACCTAGGAAATCAAGCATATCTATGCATGATAAATAAAACCTAAGCTAGTAATAGCATAATAAAGTCCAGGCAAGCTACCAAAGCCAGCATAAGCCGTCGTACTCTCACACGTCCCCCCCTCAAAGCTGGGTGGCGTGAGAAACACCCTGCTTGACAAGATAGTCCTTGAGAGCACGGCGTGCGTTGCCCATATCAGCTTCTGCAACCCAACTGTCCTCCGACGGGTCGTATCCCTTCCAGCGTATCAGGAACTCGAGCGTGTTGCCGCGTCTGCGTCGATGAGCGAGAACTTTTTCCACCTCGTACTCTGGTTCATCCTGTATGAGAACAGGTGGTGGTGGCGGTAGCTGGCGACCCTGGAACTGTTTGGGGTCCTTGTAGGGTTTTAGTAGCTGAACATGGAAAGCGTTGTGAAGCTTCCACGTAGTAGGTAAGCGCAAGCGGAATGTTACTGGTGTCACCTGTGCCTCAACGCGAAAGGGACCACAGAAGCGAGGCCGGAGCTTGGACGGAAGGTGAGATAAGTCCAAGTTGCGTGTGTCGAGAAGCACCTGATCTCCGACTGCTACTGAGTGATCTCGTCGCTGGCGATCGGCATACTGCTTCTGGGAGTTCTGCATCGTGGAAAGACGTCGCTGAGTCTTCTCCCATAGCTGTTGCATGGTGGTGACGAAGTCGTGTGCGGCTTGGACGTGTGGCGGTGTGGTTGGCTGCTGTGGTGTAAGTGGTTCCCGTCCGTAGCACAGGAAGAAAGGAGATTTCCCTGTGGCCGCATGCGAAGCGTTGTTGTAAGCGAACTCAAGCGTCGGTAACTGTAGATCCCAGTGGCTGACGTCGTCTTTGCAAGCTGTGCGCAGTAACTGTTCAACCACTTGATTGAGTCGCTCTGTCTGTCCGTCAGTCTGTGGGTGGTATGCTGAGGACATCGCAACTTTAGTCCCCAATAATCCCATGAGCTTTTTCCAGAACTTACTGGTGAATTTGGGGTCTCTCTCTGAGATGAGTGTAGCGGGGATGCCGTGGATGGTGATGATGCGGTCGAAGAAGAGGCGAGCAGTTGCTTCAGCTGTAGCTGTGGCGTTGGTCGGTATGAAGTGACCCATTTTGGAGAACTTATCGATCACCACGAGTATAGCGTCACGCCCTCGTGAGGTCGAAGGAAGTCCTGTGATGAAGTCGAGGCTAACGACCTGCCATGGCTGCTCCGGTACGGGTAGAGACTGAAGTAACCCTGATTTTTTATGCTTGCTACTCTTCATCCGCTGGCACGTGTCGCATGAGGCGACGAACTGCTGCACGTTTGCTGCCATCCCGGGCCAGCTATCCCTGCTAACGTCTTGTTGCTCCCGAAATGTCCCGCGTACTGTGCGTCGTGAAACTCCTCCAACAGAATCTGTCGGAGCGGGGCATAGTTCGGTACCCAAATCTTTCCTGATCCCTTTCTTACAGCTAAGTCCTTCTCCCACTGTAACAGCTTCTTAGTCTGTGCTGTAGCAATCTCTGCGTCCACGGAGTACCCATGTTGGAATAGACCCTTGAGCAGAGGATTCATCCCGTCGAGCTGGATGCCTGCTACATGTCCGGGGCAGCTCAATGCGTCTGCCTTGTTGTGTAGCCCGGGCTTGTAGATGATGTCGTAGTGGAAGTGGGTTTCCAGGAAGTCCACCCACCACACCTGTCGTCGTGAGAGCGTCGGCTGCGACTTCAGGTATTTGAGACTGCAGTGGTCAGTATAGACTGTAGTCTTGGCTCCCTCTAGGTAACACCTCCACGCCTTGAAGGCTATGACTATCGCTAAGGCTTCCTTGTCATGGATTGGGTAATTCAGTTCTGCTCCGTGTGGCTTCTTACTGAGGTAGGCGATAGGCTGTAAACCGCGTCCGTGATACTGTATCAGTACTGCTCCGACTGCCTGGTCACTAGCGTCTGCTTCCATAACGTAGTCTCTGTCTGGATCCGGTAGGATGAGTACGGGCGCTATAGTCAGTGCTGTCTGTTTGTTCAGTGCGCGGTAGTCGATGCACATCCGTAAACTACCGTCTGGCTTTGGAGTGAAGAGAACTGGTGCACCGTAGGGAGAGGTGGATGGGCGGATCAGTTGTTTGTCCAGTAGCTGCTCCATGGCTTGCTGTTGAGGAGTATCCCATGTGTAGGGCGTATCCTTTTTCAGTAGGTCGGTCAGTGGTGCTGCTGTCTTAGCGTACTGTGGCACGAACCTGTTGTAGTAGTTGGCGAAGCCTAGGAACTGCTGCAACTCCTTCACGTTCTCAGGAACATTCCCTATATCCGTCCAGCTTCGCAGCTCCACTCGTTTCCCGTTGTTGTAGATGCACGTTTTCCGGTTGACCCAGTCGATCTCGGGGTTGAACCGCTTCAGAAAATCACGCCCCAAGATGAAATCTAATCCCTTGGTGTTCATGATCGGCAACGTCGGCTTCCACTTCAACGCCCCTATCTGCAGCTGCAGTGTTGACTCGCCGTGGATGGGAAGCTTCGTACCGTCCACCATCGTTGCTGTGAATTGGGTCTCCTCCGATGACTCTCCAATTTTCTCCAACGTCCCGCGGTCGCACACCGAGTGGGACGCACCACTGTCCACCAGGGCCTGGAGGCGGCGCCCGTTGCAGATCACCTCGAGGAGTAGTGGCTGCTGCCGCTCCGAGTAGCTGTAGATGGTGTTGCTTATAGGATCATAGGGTAGATCAAATGTATCATCCCTTGGTCCTGCGCTCGAAGCTGCTGTCTCAATACCAGGTATCACCTGAGTAGGGTTAGAAGGTTTTATCCGAGGCTGGTACAGCTTCTCCCGAGGTTTTGTTTTTTTTACGCTGTTGGTTCAGTTTACTTATGATTTTTACACTAGCAAAATCAGTATAAAAAAAAACTGTGAACGCTGATTTGGACACCTCGTTGGCCGGGGCACGCTGATCCATCAGCATACCCTCAAACCAATCTGAGGGCCTGCACCTAATCTAGGAAATCAAGCATATCTATGCATGATAAATAAAACCTAAGCTAGTAATAGCATAATAAAGTCCAGGCAAGCTAGCAAAGCCAGCATAAGCCATTGTACTCTCACAGCACCCGATTTCGTGGATCAAATCAACAGCCAATGATCAACGGCGTGGATGCTCCAGGCCGAGCCTTAGGGCCGTGCCTTTTATACAACCAGCTGGGCCACCTGAAGAGACACTGCCCGAAGCTGAAGCAGGGAAGAAGAGCGACGGAGAAGGGTCGGGAAAAGAGAAGAGCCAGTAGCAAACGTGTGCCCTACCGACGAGACCATGTCACTCGACAATTACCATTCACAATGAGTTGTGGTATCGATATGGGCTATCGACCACAATTGGGCAAATAACGTGGATGAACACGTGGAATATTTTGTGCTGGTGGTAGGGAGGGTTAATGGTCATAAAATATAATTATTCGTTGACGGCGGGGCTAGTCACAGCATCATCAACTTGTCAACGGCCCCCAAAATTGGGGTGAAGCTGAACAGGTATCTTCCAGAGATTGACGCGCGACTGGTGGAAGGGACATCGCTGGCCATCTGGGACGACGCGCGGAAAGTTCGGATGAAGTGTGGCGACGATTCCGGGTTCGACATGAAGATGTTTGCGACAACATTGGCCGGTTGCGATGTGCTGCTAGGGCGAGATCAGCTGCAGCGGTTTATCTCGACGATCGACTAGACGACGGGAGCATGCACTGTGCACGGCAACATGGGGCAAGAGACGCTTCCGAAATGGACGGAGTTGGAGCCGGTGATGACATGTCTGAATGCCGTCAACATGCAGCGAGCGCTCAACATGGGGGGAACCAGGCTACGCTATACATTTGTACAAGGTGGCAGCTCCAAAAAAATCACCGACATCGGCACGCTCTGTGCGGCTGTACCCGATGACTGCAGATTTGGAGGTATTTCGACATTTCTGCATATGACCTACCCGACGGCTTGCCACCTCACCATCCGGAAGATCAAAGGATACTAATGGAGCCTGGCGCGCAACCAATTGTTTGAACGCAGTGTCGACTAAGCCAACCAGAGCTCGACAAGTTGAGGAGCCAGCTCAAATACCTCCTCGCCAAGTGTTTTATACAGCCAAGCACGTCCCCATTCGCAGCACGAATACTGTTCACGCCGAAGGACGGAGGCCTGCACATGTGCATCGATTATCGCGCGCTAAATCGGGTCACTATCAAGTCGCGTTACCCATTTCCGTGAGCGAACGACAACCTGCTGGATCAGCCTCACGGGGCTCTCTATTTTTCGAAGTTTGACTTGCGAGGTGGGTACCATCAAATTTGCATGTTCATCGTCGACTTCCCGAAGCCTGCCTTTTGTACACGCTACAGCAGTTACAAATATATAGTGATGCCGTTCAGACTGACTAAAGTGCCCTCGACGTTCCCGATCACCATGAACGGGGTGTTCTGGAACCTGCTCGACAAAAACGACATCATTTACCTGGACGACATTTTGGTGCAGAGCAAGACTTGGGAGGAACATTTTCGGGACTTGAAGGAAGTGTTCCGGTGCTTACA